ATCTGAACTGATAAATAACAGATTGGAGATTAAAATAATAGCAGATTTGTCTAATTTTAAATGAATAATAAAAACTGAGATAAAAATTTTTTACTTAAGCCAGAATTTAAATGTTACTATGGTAAAATAAATATTCAAACCACGTGTGTTACAACTAACACCCCGTTACTTTGTGCATCGCACTCATCGCAAGTTTATTGTTAAATTGTTAAATGCCCTTACATATCTCTGTCACCATTATAAGTGTTTGATCACCACATTTGAGTGATCATTGCAAAAAGTGTTTATGTATATATATTCTGTTTATGTATATACTGTATTCTATATATAGTACCAGAAAAATGTTTGGACACACGAATGGGAAAGTGTCCAAACTTTTGACTGGTACTGTACTATAATATACACAAAGAATATCGGTCGATATATCGGTATCGGCCTTTTTTTACTCCCTAATATCGGTATCGGTCCCAAAAAACCCGTATCGGTCGGGCTCTACTTGAAACAGTAGCTTTCCAAGCTTCAAGTGATTTAAACTGAAAGATAGTCAAGCAAAAAAAAAAAAGTTACATTAAAAGCTACTAACAAAACACAATTACATTTAAGGGGCATTACACTACTGTTAAAATGTTTGGGATGAGTAAGTTTTTAAAAAAATAAATTAATACTACTAATACTACAAGGATGAACTAAACTGTTTGACAGTCAAGACATTTATAATGTTAAGTGTTTTTGAACTATTGATTTTTTCTATTAAATCAAAGAATCCTGAAAAGAACCGTATCACAGTTTTTCACATAAATATTAAACAGCACAAGTGTTTTCAACACTGATAATAAATAAATCAGTATTTTAGCATGATTTTTGAAGAATCATGTGACACTGGCTGTTTACATGGACACTTTTTTGTTTCAGTCAGAATGAAATCATTCTGATTGAGAAATCCGAATGCAGTGTTTACACAAACACTAAATAAAGTGATCGAGTTGGTTATTGGTCAAAAGCTTCAATATCGGATTTGATCTTTTGACATGTACACACTTCACGAATATACAGAGTTTTTCACTGTTTGCACATAATATTCTGCAACCATTGCTTCTTTTTTTGTTTAAAAGAGCAGACTTAACATTTCTCTTTTTTAGGACGTAGTTAGGAGACGACGAGCACATGAAGCTTTGTGCCGTGCTGCTTACATCAAGCAGTAAAAATCGCCCACTGTGGTCAAAACAAGCCATCTGTGCATGAGAGAATGAAGTGAGGACTGATGGAAAGTTGTTCTGCTCCACTTCACTTCCACAAATAACATGAGTTATTTATGACACTTCATTCAACAAAAACAACAGCTCGTTCCATGTGTCATTCATCATTACGTCAATTCTACGTCATTACACATGTGCAGTACTTTCCAGTTTTGGTTTCCTCTCGAAGGAATTAGAAAACTTCTACACCACCCATCCCAATCCGATCGAAATTCCATTCAGTTTGAACTCAATCGGATCGACTAAGGTGTTTACATGAAGGCATTTCAGCCCGATTGAGCCATCAATTTGATTACTAACAGACTATTTGGTTGCACGTAGCCACTGAAGACTGTAAGGGCTGCTAAAAATCCCGCTTTGCAATCACAAAAATAAAATATATTTAAGTAGAAAGCAGTTATTTTAAATTGTAAGATTTCACAATATTAGTAATTTTGATCACAGAGACTTGGTGAGCATAAGAGACTTTTTTTTAAAACAAAACCTTACTGACCCTAAACTTCTGAACAGTAGTGTGTATATTACATCAGTGTTTCGCAACTACAGCCCTTGGGACCCACCTCCCAAATAAGCTTTAGATGCCTCCCTATTCAACAAACTAAGAAGCTGAGGAATCAGGGGTTTTAATTAGTGAGACATCTTAAACATTCTGGTAGGTCGGTTCCCCTCATCTTATATCCTATAACAAATTATAATATATATATAGAGAGAGAGAATGACCTGCTGGTCATTGTGCCCACGGATGCCAGTGTTCAAACACTGAACGGAATGAGCGAGAGAGAGAATATATGAAAATATCTATTTGAGTAAAAGTGTTAGACGAAATTGCTGATTTAAAAAAAAAAGGCATTTATAAAAGATCAGTCATGGGAGTTTGAAAATAAGTAAGAAAATTCTATAGTCACCCCCGTTGGACTGTATTTTTGTCTCTGTTCTACTGGCAATAAATGCAACACAATGACAACCAACAACGTCACTTTGTTTATGCTTTATCACTACATATTGAGAAGTAGTAGCTTGTTAGTGGAAATTTCTCACAAAATCCTCATACGACAATTACTGTAATTGATGCTTAAGGGTGAATTCTCTTGCAACAAGTTATTTAATGAGAACCAGACAGAAGCACAAACCTCTAACTTCCGTTTCCTCTGTTTCTTGATCTGTTTCTCCTTCTGCTTCTTAGAGATTTGCAGTTCATCATTTTCTTTGTCCTTCCTACTTCTCTTCTTGCTCTTCCCTTTCCCCCTCTCTTCCATCTCCATCTCTTTGCTAATCGGTCCTCTCCTTTTGTGCGGTGGGCCGAGGGTCTTGGTCTGCGTCTCAGCCGTGTCCCTGGCGTCGCACAGCAGGCCCATCCCGGAAAGGTCCCCGTATAGCTCTGGAGCCTCACCTCTTACGGCTAGAGCATCCCCGATGACCTCTTCGGGGGCTTCCTGAACACCGTGCTGGTTGAGGTCGGCAGGGAGAAGGACCGTGGGGTCCTGTTTCGTCCTCTTTTGTGAAGACGTGAGGTGCGGATGAGCAGGAGTTTTAGAATAGTTGTGCTCCTGCAGGACGAACAGACCCTCTGGATCCGGGAGTGGTTGGCGTGGGTGCGGAGCGAAGAAGTCTCCCTCTTCTTCCTCCAGCTTGTGCTCCTCTGCCTCATCGGAGGTCTCGGTTTCTTCCGAGTCAATATCTGCCTCCGGGTCCATCTTCAGCGCCACATCGGCCAGCACAGACAGGTCAGGCTTGGGGGCAGAGGCCAGCTGCAGCAGGCTGGACACTCCCAGCTGCTCCCTGAGTTTCAGCCGCTGCTCCAGCTCCTCTTCATCCTCCTCCTCCAGAGTGGGATGCAGGTGAGGGGCGGAAGCCGACTGGCTGAGTGTCCGAGGGCGACCACGTGCACGACCCTTCTGCGTGGTTGGAGTAGGGACAGGGTCCTCGTAGGCCACTTTGACCAAGCAGGCATGGTCCAGTGGAAGGTTCTGGACAGTGAGGCAGATGGGCGCCGGGGGCGTTCTGGGAGAGTCTTTACCACGTTTGGAGGAGTTTTTGGCTGTGGGAGTTTGTGGGGATGGAGGGAGACCTGGACTCTTTTTGGGCTCATCAGGCCGCAGGGAACGCACCGGTGGAGGGACGGTAAGAACGGTGGAAGGGGAAGCAGGGGAGGTCAGGGCGTTACTCTCGCTAGGACGAGAAGCAAACGGAAGGAGCATCGGGGCGGGCTTGGAGGAGGCGGCTGGGGCAGCTGCTGTGGGCGTGCTTACAGGAGAAGAGGAAGTAGGAACATCTGAAGCTTGTGAGACAGGAGTGGGAGATGGAGAGGGAGCAGAAGGTGACAGAATGGAAGGCTTGACATCCCTCTCTTCCATCGAGAAAGAAACAGTCTTGCACCGTTTCTTGAGTGGGGGAAGGAGGAGAAAGGGTGAAGAAGGACGGGGATACGGAGAAGATGGAGGCACAGCTGTAGCCGTTTTCTCTTCTTCTGGTAGTGAAAGAAAGAATAAAGTGAACTAAACTTCACTTTTTGAAAATAAAATTCCAGAATCGTAAAACAATTTACTCTGCCTAATGTTGTTCCAAACCTGTATGACTGACTTTCTTCTGTGGAACACAAAAGCAGATATTCTGAAGAATGACGCCAACCAAACAGTTTTGTTCCATTGACTTCCATTACATGGACAAAAATACAATGGAATTCAACGTGAAACTAAACTGTTTGGTTCAAAATATCTTTTGTGTTCAGCAGAACAAAGAGAATCAAACAGGTTTGTAACGACATGAGGGTGAGTAAGTTAAACAATTTTCATCTTTAGGCAGACCATCCCTTCTTTTTTTGTTTGTTTTTGTAAAAAGTGATATTTAACTGACCTTGTTTGACCTCTACAGCAGTCACTGATGATTGGTCAAGACTTGCTTTGTCCCTGTAAGAAACAGACATAATGCATGTTAATGTATCCGTGAAGACACAACTTTCATCTCAGTATCAGTTCTCAAAGAGGAATGTACCCATCATCCTTTTCTGCATCTATAGCCGCCACACTGTCCATCGTAGACTCATCCATTGTGTCCAATGATTCACTCTCAGCGGCCTGTTCACCATCCTCTTCATCCTCATCGGAGGAAGAGGACGATGCTGAGGATGATGATGAGCTCTCGGAAGAGGAGGAAGAAATGCTTTCGTCATCACTGTCTGCACTAAGGGCTTCATCTGAGAAGCATGAGAAATAGAGAAAAGAGTTAAGGCCCATTCACACCAAATACGATAACTATAAAGATAATGATAAAGATATAGTTCTAAAAATCGTTCTCAATATTAAAGAATAGCAGTCCACACCACAGCTATAACAATAAAGGCACAGAGAAACGATATCGCTAGAATCACTTTCAGAACGATTTTTTTCCAGGTGATGAACGACAAAAACATTGACACCCAATCAGAATCATCAAAATTGACACTATCACGAGCTAGAGAATTTACAGACGATATCATCTGCTGGTGTGGAGGCTAATATCATTATCTTTATAGTTGTCGTTCTTGGTGTGAACGGGGCTTTAGATAGCAAAACACATAGACCCACAAGATATGATTGCATAGACACATAAAAGCCTAAAATAAAGTGCACATAGCAACAAGAGCCCAAATTAATGAGCACAGTAGAAAAGACAAAACAAGACAGCTGCATACCTTCTGACTCATCCACTTTGTCACTGTCTTCATCCTCCTCCTAAACATAAAACAATGAAGAATCACCAGTTGCAATAACATGTTTGAACTCATCTGCTGAAAGTTGTGTGAATTTCCCTACAGCATTTGAAGAAAAAAAGAAATGCTGCCATCTAGCCATTATTCAATGAAACAACAACAACAACTAAGTATAAGATTCTGCAAAAAAAGATTTTTTTTCATATTTTCAAAACCAAATTTTAGAATGGCAACACTCTACATAACTATTGACCACTATTAATAGATTTTTGCCTTCACAGGCATCACACATGGTATCGTGACAAGTTCAATAGAAAAAAAAATATTTTACATCTAATATTGATGACATCATTTTATCTTTTGTCAATTTTTAAATGAACATTTAAATTTGTAGATAAAGACTCACCTAACTGCCATGCATGTTATGTATTTGTGTGTAAAATTTATTAGGGGAAAAAAAGTAGAATCTAAACATTACCAATATGATATTCAATTTATATTATTTATAATATTGATTTATATTATTATTTATATATATATATAAATTGAATATTGTATTGGTGTGTATATATATATATATATATATATTTTTTTTTTTCAGAACAGATCAATTGTACGCAAGTTTAAATTCAAGTTTTAATTCTTGTGCAGGCTATGTGAGGCTTAAGCTGCAATGGATGGGATGATAATGGGATGCTCCCAACCAGCCAATGCCCACTACTACACAGACACACAAAAATGACAGACATAATGGTAAATAAACCAACCTTCTCCGAGGAGGAACCATCTGATGTTTCTTCTCCCTCACTATCCAGGTCATATGGTTTGCGTGCCTTTGCTCTGCTTCTTCTCCTGGCTGCTCTTCTGTCTGCCACACGCCTCTCTTCTGTTCTTCCTGCAGCAGTGTCGGCAGATTTGCCCTGATACGAGTCTGAGAGAGAAAGAGAGTAGAGAGCAATTAGAATTACGGTAATGTCATTAATCCAGCTCTAAACCATAGCATTAGAGACATACCCTCATCTTCCCCATCGGGTGGAGTGGAAGGCCTGGCTCTCTTCAGCTCACCACCCTCCACAAGTTCCTGAGGCTCCTTCCTCTTCACCTGAACAACATATTCCTCATTAGTAACATCATTTTCACGAGATTATTTCAAATCATGGTAATAAAGTGCGCCAGTCTTATCAATACAATTAATTGAAAATATTTATATTTCTGTTATAATTTCTTCAAGAAATTGTTTTTAAATGTTTAATAGGTGGTAAATAACATCAAGCACCTTAAAAGAAGGCAAACGCAAGGCCCCCCGCAGGGAGAAACCCTCCATGCCTCCACTCTTGGCCCAGTCTACCAGAGACATGAGTGGCTCCCGAGGTCGGTTGCTGGTCTTCTCGTCCTTCTTGTCCTCCTCGCGCACCACTGCAACTCCCCGCATGGCTGTCTGGAATGGCTGAGAAAATGACAGCAAGAGGTGGTACAGTTCATGAACACCGAAGGTCATTCACAAAAAACATATGTATCCCTGGACCACAAAAGCAGTCATAAGTAGCACGGTTATATTTGTAGCAATAACCAACAATACATTGCATGGGTTAAAATTACTGATTTTTCTTTTATGCCAAAAATCATTAGGATATTAAGTAAAGATCATGTTCCATGAAGATATTTTGTAAATATATCAAAACTTATTTTTTGATTAGTAATATGCATTGCTAAGAACTTCATTTGGACAACTTTAAAGGTGATTTTCTCAATATTTGGATTTATTTGCACCCTCAGATTCCAGATTTTCAAATAGTTGTATCTCAGCCAAATACGGTCCTATCCTAACAAATCATACACCAATGGAAAGCTTATATATTCAGCTTTCAGATGATGTATATATCTCAATTTCAAAAAATTGACCCTTATGACTGGTTTTGTGGTCCATGGTCACATCTAGAAAACTCTCTGATGTTACCTTGGCTTTCTGTTCCTTGCGGTCCCACCATTCGTCGAAGGTGCCAAAGGCGACGTTCTCCACCATCTTGCGGTTCAAGTCCCTCTGCATGATGTTCTTCATCTCCTCGATCAAAGCTGCCAGTACCTGCTGCACTACGGCCTCGTAGGGGTTGTGGCCCATTATGGTCATCTGGTCACCCGCTGCTCCGTACAGCTCTCCATCTATGCCAGGCACTGTGCCGAAGCCAGGTGGAGGATAGTGGGAAGGAAACTGCTGGGGCAGCAGGTGAGGAGGCCAGGGGCTGTGGGGAGGTGGGATGGTGTGATGCTGAGGAAGCTGTGCGGCATGAGGGTCCGGGAAGGCATATGGTAAGTGAGGAGGGATGTAGCGGTGGTCCTGGTCATAGTGAGTGGCAACATTCCCATCTTGGTCCATGTATGGGTGGTGTGGGTGGTGCGGTGGAGGGGGTATCGAATGGAGGTGAATGATGGCGTTGTCATCTTCATCGGATATTTCCATATCCTCCCCAGAAGAGTGAGGAGAAGGCTGGAGAGGAGAGAGTGTGAAGATTACAGGTTAAACATACTGGGGGGTAGGGGGGATTTTCAAGATAGAAACAAATATAGTGGTGCATCGAAACTGAGAGATAATACTCTCACAAGCCTACCAGAGCATGAAAAAGAGCAAAAGCATGTGTTTCACTTCTGATAACTTACTGGATCATTTACATCATGTCAGAATTACCCAAGTTTATAAAAATAAAATATGACTTCAACTGTGATAGTTCACCAAAAATAAAAAATCCTGCATCATTTAATCACCCTCATGCATTCCAAAACCATAAGAAAATGGTTTGTCTTTGGAACGCAAATGAAGATATTTTTAAATATCAACCTTAAGCAAGTTAATTGGATTTAATTGAAAGTAACTTAATTTGTTTCAAAGATAAATGAAAGTCTTATGGGCTTGGAACCATATGAAAGTTAGAAAATGACTTGAGTCAAGATATATATATATATCATTAATGATACACATCATATTTTGGGTGAACTAACCCTTTAAAGGTAGTTATGAAGCTACTTCTGCACAGAATAATGTTTTATATCAAAAATGAACATTTTTATTACCAATAATGGGTCGCAGTCTGTTCTGATAGGGTCATGAATGGCAGGAAAAACAAAGCTAATGCAAATAAACAACTAACCATACAATAATAGTGCATAGTTTTAACTAGTGTTGTCAAAAGACCCGGTATTTCGGTACCAAGTCGGTACTAAAAAAATGAAAACGTTACGGTTCCAGGTTTTCTTAAGTCCCGGCGGTACCGAGTACCCGGTCAACCCGGTTCTTGATGCGCTATCCCAAAAGCTAGCCTCTTCCAGTGTTGCCAAGTCTCGCGGGTTAAAAAACGGCCCCATTAACGTGATATTTAGCTCCTGGAATGCGAATTTTACCAGAGGAACCCCGCCAAAACGCGTATTTTATCCTCGGAGCGCTATTTTTAACGGGAGACCCCCTCGAAACGCGATTGGGCGGGTTTTGTTGTGAAAACCTGGCAACCTCTTTATAAAAGCAGTGGCGACCTCAAGAGGAGGAAACGCATCAAACTAACAATTTGGTACCGTGACAACACTAGTTATAACAGCAAAATAAATAGGCACATCCGCTTTAAAAAAGGATGAGAGGCAATGCCTCCCGTACAGTTTGTTGCGGAGCATTGCCACAGAAATTAATAATGAGTCTCAGGACGTGAACATCTCAGAGCATTTTGTAATTTAGCATTAATATATTCACTTTAATTTTCAATGCAGAAGTCAGGTTTTTTTTGTGAATGGACGAGACTTCTGATTAATTAGATTCTATTTGCTGGTTGAGTCTTGAGGTTTCGAATACTGTTTCTGGTGTTATTACGGTTTCCAAGCATAACAGTCATTAATGAGTACATTTCATCAACATCAAGCATTTAAGTTTAGCTTTTAAAATGTCTGGTGTACACTACAGTCTCCAGGTTAACCATGTCCCAGGCACCAACATTTGAACAATTGATAAATGACAAATCACTCTTGTATTCAGAATGGAGATAAAGGTTTGAATTGTTGTTGTTGTTTTTAGGTAGTACCACAGCAAAACGTGATTAAATACATGCACTTTTGGGATCCGATAGTGTCTGGACCTGGAAATGGTGGCCCATGACACCAGAATCAACAAGCAAATTACAAATGATAGCACCTAGTCTTATTTTAAAAATAAGGTGAATAATAACATGTAACAAGTAGGTCTCACCTGTGCCTCTCCATTGTAGGTGGGTGGGGTGTGTGGAGCCCCGTGTGAGTCAGAGGTTGTGTGCTCCTCTTGAGGTGGCGGCATTTGGCCCTGAAGAGACTCTGACACCAAACTGTGCATAGTGGGAGTGGAAGAGGCCACCTCTGGAGGTGTTTTCCTGCCTTCACTGACTCCACCACCTTGCCTTTTGCCCCTGCTGTGGCGTCCATCTTTCTCTCCTCTCCTCCTCTGCTGGCCTCCCTCCATCTCTCCTTGTCTCTTATGACTAGGCCTTTCACCGTTCTCCTCTCTGAGTTTCTTTCCCCCATCATCTGCATTCTCGCCTGTTTTACCCCTCTCTCGGTCCTCCTTCTCATCGTCCTCATCATCTGAGGCAAGGAAAGAAAACTTGGCTTTTTGTTCCTTCAGCAACATCTCAATACGTGAGTCCAAGCTGCTGCTGTGGTGCATGAACGGCAGGCTCTCATTGGTGGAGTCAGGCTCCGGGGAGGAGTCACGCTGTGGAGGAGGCGGAGAGAGGGATGCTGTCAAAGAGGGGAGGTGGTGAGGCAGGGAGGTGGAGGATGGAGAGGTGGAGGATGACGGGATTGAGGCGTGAGGAGGCGAAGAGGTCGGAGGTGTCTGAGGTGGATGGGGCGGGGTGCTGGGATAGCGTTTGGGTTTGGTCCACTGTTCTTCTGGGATGGGACTGTCCTGACCAAAATCAAGAGAGCCGAGTGTTTCAGCCACAGCGGCTGCGATGACGGAGGCTGGCGGGAGGGGAGGAGGTGGAGGCGCCAGGGGCGTGAGGTGAGAATGAGCACGGTAGTCATTGTCCATACTTCCTCCCATCCCAAAACCCCTCTCGCCTGCACCCTGCTGAGGACGGAAAGCCGGCGAGGGCTCTAGCCGGGAGGAAGAAGGTGTGTCGTAGGGGGACAGGTCTTTAGGTCCTCCATAAGAGGAGGTGGCAGAGGGAGGGGAGAGGCTATTGGACGAGTTGTGGCTGGAGTCCGAGTGGCCTCCATAACGTGGATCGGAGATGTTATAGTCTCCTTCTCTGTCTCGCTCCCATTCCCGGTCTCTGCTGCCTCTCCGCCGGCTCGATCCACCTCCGCCGCTGCTGTGGTGGTTGTGGGAGTGATGGTGGTTCCGATGCCTTCCATGATCTCCCGAGCGGGGGCCTCAGCTGTCGCGCCGGTAGCCCCTGCCGTCCCTGTCCTCCCGCCGATCTGCATGATGCGAGTGATGTGAATGGTAAGATTTGGATGTGGACGAGGAGTTTGTTTCCTGTTGGTAGTGGTAAGAGGAACGTCGGGAGCTTATCCCGCCTCCATAGCGCCCTCCTGAGTCTTTCTCCCGATCCCTATCCCTGTGTCCCCTTTCTCTATCTCGGTCTCTATCTCTGTCGGACAGCGGTGGCGGCTCAAACTGAGGCCCTGGAGGTGGCATGGGTGGATGCAGCGGCATGTGCATTCCTGAACCGCCAACACTGGGATACGGATAGGGAGGTTCATTAGGTCTGAAGGGCGCTGAAGGAGGATATCCCGGCCGACCCCTGTGGAACACGGAGGGTTCTTGCGGAGGTGGAGCATGTAAGTCGTCATGAAAGCGAGGGGGTTTAAATCCTGATGATGAGGAGACTGCTGAAGAGGAGCAGGAGGAAGATGGAAGCATATCCTGCTGGGGATAACTTTGAGTGCTGCTGTAGCCACTGTGCCTGAAAGAAAAGGATATTTTCTCAAATCTCTAAAGAAACTTAACCAAGCAACTTCTATTCAAGGTTTAATGTTATTCTGGAAACCAACCTGCCCACAGAGAATCCCGAGTCTTGGGAGAAAGGGGTTCCAGAGCGAGGGGTGTGAGGGGTGCCGCCGCCCTGTGAAGAAGCAGAAGAACCCGGCGTATAAGCTCCTCCCAGAGAGGATGGAGGGGTGTCTAGGCGCTGGTCTCCAAATCCAGTGTCCACAGAACAGGGGGTGGTGCTGCCAGAGTTTAGAGGCGCAGCAGGAGCTGCCATCTGATCTGTGGAGAGCCTCCGCCGGATATCAGATGACTAACAAAAGAAGACAACAAATATCAGTGAATCATTTACAACGGATAAAAAATAATTCGTTTTCAGTTTTTTAAATTATTGGTTGATACTACATATATGTAGTTTCCACATTTCTTCGCCATCATTTAACAATCACTTAAACTCTATCAGTGTAAAATTGTATGAATCTTTAAACACTAATAACGTAATCTAAAAATTCATATTTCTCATTCAGTAGTGTTTTGCTCATCTACATTACCATACAAAGATTTCTCTTTCAAAAAACTTACGCTTTTGAAATTTCTATTCAAAGAAAAAAAAAATGTATCGGGGTTTACACAAATATTGAGCACAAATTATATTCAAACGTACTGTTTTATATAATAAAATAGGAAACACTTATTTTCAATTGTAATAATATTTCACATTACTCTTTTACTGTATTTCTGATCAAATAAATACACTTAGTGTGAATGAGACTTCTTTAAAAAAAAAAAATCTTACCGAGTCCGATGACAGATGATAGTTGGTAGTGTATTTATTTTTTTTTTTTGAAGTATAGCCTTAATATTAAAAATGTATGAGCTATTGGCCATGAAAATAATTATCTTTATCAGCGTCATCCTTCCTTTTAATACCGCTGCATTTCTAATAAAAATATGGTAAATACTGTGCTAAACAGGACCCACAGAAAATGAAAATGTAAGTCCCTTAACTGTGCCTGGACAACTTAAACTGAATATTTAGAAACATAGCAATTAAAATCTCTTTGTCTCAAATCAAGACAAAAAAAATCTTACAGCATGACCAATAAAATCCCCTATTATTGTTTTATTTCAAGGGTGTGGCTACATAATTGATCACTTGAGGGAAACATTATTTAAAGCAATCCAAAACTCCTTCAGATAAGTGAGGGAAACACATTGGGAAACAAAATATCATAATGCTGGTACACAAGGTAAAAAAAGGCCAATTAATATTGAGTTAAAAGCTGAAAAAGTCTCAATGCCAGCAGCCACCTTCTACAGACACAACAGTTTCGTCTGCATTTGGAAAATCTAAATGCACTGAGAGGCCTGATGGCTATTTGTCTTTCAGACATTTTGTGGTCCACTTGTGGTCAAGATAATAATACGGACCAGGGTATTTGAGAGTGACTGTAATGTGTAGAATAAACTACAAGACAACTCAATCCAAGGAAGGCCATTGCTCTTCAAGGACGCCAAGAAACTTTGGCTGGTAACCGCACACACTTATAGGAAAGCAAAGCGTTCTTTCCAGTGTGGCTGAGCTAAGGTTTGTTTGTGTACTCACCGTATCTGGCTGAGTCGGGGCTGGGTGTTGAAATTTCTCAGTGAGGGCTTTGCCTCCAGTCGGCACTGTCTGAGGGGTGTATGAGCCACTCACTATTAAGTCATAGTACTTCATCCTCTGTTGGCCTAGAAAACACACACAATATAAATTCAACTACAATGTGGTGCATTTATTTCCATCATGCAATGCTGCACATTCCCACTTTTCATTATCACTATGCTCCATATTTTCAAGAAATTAAGAGATGGAAGGATATAAACAAGCATTGTTCTAAAATGAATTTTGACACTTCGTTGCAAGCAGGGATGCAAACATATTACGATTTTTGCAAAACAACAGAAGGCGAGAATCCTGCACTGGTCTCTTCATGTAGCCACTGGTGCGCTTTGGATAATTGGAGGTAAATATGAAATTGGAGAGATGAAATACTCCAAGGCACTCGTATAATAAAGATAAAAAGCCTTTAATTAACTGGGCTAAGTCATTAAAACTGTTGTAGAACTACGTGTTTCAGCTACACAGCCTTCTTCAGGATATTACAATTTTATTCTGTATTATCTAAATAAATGTATAATAAATACCTACAAATTAAAATCAAACATTTTAAATGCTACAAATTAATAATGTAAAGTATGAAAAATGTATACTCCTTTAGAGATTTTCTAAAGATTACATTTAATAATGTTATTAAATTATTGGTGGTTTTAAAGATTAATTTTGAATGAGAGTTAGATGAAGGCAAAAGTTATTTAAAATTACAACAGGGGGAAAGACGAGCAATCAGGATTAAATATCTAATCATATTTTTTAAAGACGTCTCTTAGGATCACCAAGGCAGCATTTATTTGATTAATAATATAGCTAATACTGTGAGACATATTTACAATTTATTTCTGTGATTGCCAAGCGGAATTTTCAGCAGCCATTATGCCAGTCTTCAGAGTAACATAATCTTTCATTGTAATATGCTGCTTTGGTGCTCAAGAAACATTTTAAATGATCAGCAACATTGAAAACAGCTGTGCTGCATTATATTTCTGTGGAAACCATGATATAATTTTTTTAGGATTATTTGATTAATTGAAGGTTCAAAAGAACAATTTATTTGCAATAAAAATCTCGTAACATTACAAATGTCTTTGTCCCTTGCTGAATAAAAGCATTTTTTTCCAAAACAAAACAAAACAAATCTTTGACCCCGAACTTTTGAACAGCAGCGTATGTAGAAAGCATATACCTCAAAATATTAATGATCAAAAACAATCAAGAGAGAAACACACCTTTGATATCTAGCTGGACATGGACAATGTTTCCCATGACAGAAGTATTGTGCAGGTGTTTGACAGTGTCTTTGGCCCCTCTAGTGCTGGTGAAGAGGACGCGGGCCAAGCCCAAGTGCTTCCGAGTTTTGGGATGAAACAGAATCTCCATTTCCTCAACCTCACCAAACTTGGCGCACATCTCTGCCAGGAACGGCTCTTTGATGTTATCATTCAACCTCGCAAATGTCACTTCCTTAAGTGGTATAGGACCTAAATAATACTCGTCCAACTATGAAGAACAAGCAGAAAATGAAGAAAAGGTTTAGCATGTACAATACAAAAACAGACAAACACAAAGAGCTCACCAGAAAATCAGCATAATAAATTGAAATGATAATAAAAGAGAGGCATACCTTAAATTTGGGCACTGGCAGCGACAGCTCTGTGTGTCTAGACCAGATTCTGCGGGGTCTTGGATCACGCAAGTCCCCCACAGGCGGGAATCCTGAATCCTAAAAACAAGCAGAACACACAGACTTTACATAAGTATGCACTTATGTGTTTAAGTATGCTCCGTTTGGCAGTCATCATGTATTAAGTATGTCCATACCTGTACATTAAAGTGAATCCCATCATATCTGTAGATTTTCTGAGTAACCCGTCGGAGAGCAGGGTCTTGTACTAGCTTATAGCTCTTCCACTGTAGACTGAGAGTTCGCTGAGTGTCCGCCCCACTGTCCGGATCCATGCTATCACTGCAGAGAAAGTAGTAGTAGTAGTAGTAGTATATATTTACTTAATGCCATGTCAGCATCAAAGGCTATTTTCATGGCAAAAAACATTTAAAAAATACAAGTATAACAAATACAATAAAAACCAGCAAACAAACAAACAAACACAAGTTATATCACACAGGATTTTTTTATATTAACGTGATAAAAATTCTAAAACTTTTCCTGGCAAAATTTTACTAATCTCTTTAAGTGAGTTCACTTCATAAAAGAGTTTTCACTGCAGAGAAAGAGACCAGAATGAGATGTTGTGCAGATGCTCACAGCACTCAACAACTCTTGTTGAAGTCGCAGTAAGAAAAGCTTTTCACTTATAGCTCATTCATTTCACCAAGCAACCAATCTGACAGTGTCCACATGCAAAAGAGCAGCAAACACTTGTAATCTTGAAAACCTCACACTGTAATCATCAAAACAATAACAGCAAACAATGTGACATATACAACTCCACAAAGTTTTCACTTTGTATATAAAAACACACACAAAGAGGTCTGTATTTAGGAAGCTGTAATTTGTTGTCACCTCTTTATTAAGACACCGACTAATATTTTGTAGTCAATCTGTCAAGTTGATTTTACGTCCCTTATATTTGAGTTAGACAAATATGCTATATTCAACTTAAAGTCACATTTATCACGCAATACAGCGTGGGAAATAAAAGCACGGCTCCCCGTTGTGTTTTACGGAGTAATAAACGTAAAGCACTGCAGTTTTTGTATAACAAATGCTATCTGACACATCAACAACAACAAGCTAACATAATAAACACTGAAGCTGCTAGCTGCTCCCAGCGCGAGCTAGCTGAAGTTCAACTTCAAGATGTGACAGTAGAGTACAGGGCAAATGCCAATTACTTCTAGCAAACGAAATCAAACCAATTCCCAAAACTAAAAAGTAATATTGCTACACGGTGTGCCAAAAGACTCACACAACGGAGCGCGCGTCTTGAGGAGGATTGCCCGCTTCGGCAGCCGCTAGCTCGCTACAGATAGGCCTGCATCGGCGCAGAAAAACACACAATCCTTAGATAAAATCTAGCTCCGTTTTGAAGTACGCGCCCTAAAGCTGGTCTAAAACGGCGTCGCTTGTATTCCGGTGCTATATCGATGCGGCATACGTCTTTAAATTCCGCCAGAAAATGAAATGTATTAAAAAGAATAACATAATACAGTAAGCGGCCATCGCGTAACTAACCTGAGAGCCTCGCCTGCTCGCCATCGGTCACTAGAAATACTAACCGTTGCATTGGCACTCGCACTTTCCACACAATTCCCGGCTATGTGCCTCTGCTATGCAATATTTGACCAATAACGTTAAAATAGATTGTGGGTATTTGTTCTCATGAAAATTAAAATTGAAATATACATTCACATTAAACTATTTTCTTGCCTTTACTTTTCTCAGAACAGCACAAAATATGTTTGACCGATGTAAGCGTGACTTCTTTATGGCGAATCTGCATTTTCGTTTCATTTTTACATCATCGAAGTGCGAACTTGATATAGCTGCGTGTACTTAAAAGGTTCTTTTCTATTCGTAAATATAGCAAGACCTTTGTTAAGATGCATACCAATTGCACGACAAATTTATAATAATATTTACTTTATTAAACGGTAAAAACGACAAATTTAGAAGAAGGGTGCACATAGATTATGAGTTATCCGCAGAAACAATTTCCTCACAACTACTACAACCGATAAGTTGGGAGTAAAACGAGCTGCAAAAGAAACTTTAATAATAAAAAATAATCGTTTTTCTCGTATTTCTAAATAACTCGTATAATCGCAATATAATAATTTACTCAAAGAAACAATGCAAAGGAATATAAAAGTATGATATATAAAGTTGCCCTGCAGCATTTTTGCCCCTGTAGACTCCTGGGAAGCATTATGAGAACATTATGATAAATTATGAGATTCATCATTGTCCAACATATTGTAACGATATTGGTGCATGCGTGTTTCAGATACGGAGAGAACATACTATAGCCTATACATAGCACACAAGTTCGAGAATATCCGAGCTTTCAGGTTATATTTTTAGTCATTATTATTCAATTTCATTTCATTTTACACAGAGAACATACTATACATAGCACACAAGTTCGAGAATATCCGAGCTTTCAGGTTATATTTTTAGTCATTAGTCATTATTATCATTTCATTTTACATATATATATATATATATATA